TACCCACATTGGCTTTTCCCTTTGTTGGTTTTGCCGTGTGCCCCTTCACTGCAATAAATCATAACTGTGACTTCCACAACAGGCTGAGTCCTCTGAGTGCTCCTCGTCAATAACCAAGCCTGGGAGTGCTTTTGGGGACCCCCGACACAAGAGCTTACAGTCAAAGAATTTTCCTAAAACACGGTTCTGATCATCTGATCATGTTTCTCTTATTTGACACCTTCTAGGTGCCCTTCCACCACCTACAAAAAGAAGTATAAATTGCTACATGTACTCATGTGCTGGCCCCAACTTATCCTTCCACTCAAATATAAGCATCCTATGATTCCCAATCAACTCATGGTATTTATCACAGTTAAATTCACAATGTTTATTTGACTTTCTACATTCTTTCGTGTTCACATCCTATCCAGCTAAAAGCATTTCTTACTCCATAATGCCTTCCTAAATTCCTCACAGCTAGAAACAATCTCTCCACATCATCTTTGTCCTCTTTAGGATTCTTATCAATTTCCACACATTGTACTTACATATTATCCAACCATAATTATGCTTATTTCATCTCTTAGTACCTTGCACAGTGACCTATATTTAATCTATACTGAATGAGTGACAAAAGTTCTTTATGGGGATATTTTAGTTAAGATTCTTGAATCTACAAAGACAAAGAGAACACATGTCCAGTATCTGAGCTCTTCAGTCCAACAGCACTCACATCTGTCCAGCTGTGACACAGTCTGTCCTGAGCCAAGGATAACACCCTTAATTGATCCCCCAGGTTGGTAAACCCAAATCTTCTGCCTTTGCTCCCCTCATGTTTAATAAAAGTTCTACTGTGCATACTGTACATCACTGCTCTTGAGGCAAAGACTCAGACTCTGCACCCAGGGGCAAATGCAGGAGGTTACGATCTCCCAGTCCTTGGTGTTTAATAGCCATTTTCATCTCCCACTGATCTCAGTCTTTGGGAAGGAGTTGGTATGGAAGTCCTTTATAGGGTCCCCCACAGGGACTATAGAGTCAGTAATTGTCAAATTGAAGGAAGGGGACAGATAACCTGGCAAAGTACCTGATTGGGGAATGGCTGCATTGAGACCCAGGCCCGAGATGTATAGTCCAGGCTGGGGTAATCCTGTCCCCTCCCATCAGTTGATTAAGCCCATACTTCAAATGTTCATTAAAATGCTCAAGTACCCCTGTAGATTAGGGGTGATATGGAGCACGGAGAGTCTGTTGTATGCCCATGACTGGGCCAACGGATGGGTAGCTTGAGCATAAATTCCAGAACTGTTATCAGATACAGTGTTCTCAGGGAACCTGAAAAGGAAACAAATGTGGTCTTGCAGGGCCTGGAGAGTGTGGCTGGAGTCTGGAATGCGTGGAAATGGCTAGGCGAAACCCAAAGAAAGTGTCAACTGATATCACTGAGATCCACTGAAACACGATCGATGGCAAAAGGGGCCCAGCCTGTTGTATCTGCTGAGAATGCCCTAGCCCATGCACTTGAAGGAAACTGTTTAGGGGCAGTAGTTTTAGCCTTGACCAGGGTCTGACAAGTGGGACGGCTCTTTCATGCTGTTTTTGTGTCTTCTCACCACAGTGGCGGCCCATGTCCTGCCACCCCATTAGGACGGTATCTGAATCTCCACGGGCCATACTCCTGTGGATCCAGGAGGCAACTGATTGTGCACCTGCTTGCTCTGGTGTGGAGAACAATTCAGTTTCCACACTGAGCTAAAAGCATGATATGCTCATTGGTTATGTTTCCTCTTGCAGCACAGGGGCCACACCCAATTCCTACAAGTTAACCCACAGGGGCCATTAGTGACCAGGCCCATGGGTGGCCCTAGAGGTCTGTCTGGGTCCCCAATGGGCCAGAGGAGGCAATGCCTCCTTTGGTGTTATTCCTTAGGTGGAGGGGTACTCATGAGACCTTTTCATGGAGTTGCAAGACTCCAGATGGGCTCCTATGACTTCCATTTCCACTTCACTAGAGACCCAGAGCTGGCCCTATTTAGCAACGTGACGAAGTTCTGCATGTGAGCCTACTACCGCACTCATCCAAGGCCAATAACTGCCTCTCAAAGGGAGTGGATCTTTCAGCCCATGACTGGTCTGTGCTGGCCTGCAGTGTTGTCATCCTGCCTCAGGCTCTGATCAGTGAACTGAAAGTTTGCTGACATGGGGTAATTCAAATGGCAGAGGTGGACCAGTGGGGCTCAGGAGAGGGGCAGCTTGGTGGCCCGCTGGAGGGCCTTCAGGGCATCCTGTGGGTTGGGGCCCCTCTCAAGAGCAGCCCTTCGGTAACCTGATGGAAGGGTGCCAGCAAGATCCCCACAGGGCTGTGTGACAGCACCAGTAGCCACAGAGACCCACAATCCCTGGGCTGCTTTTTTAATTTTTTTGGGTCAAAAAAGGTCAAAAGTTTGGTAACAATCTCCTCTGGAATGGATGTTATACTGCTTCCCAGATCAGGGCCAGGAATTAGGTCCTTGTATGTTGCCTACGTTAACAGCCCAGCCACACTGTCACTTGTGAGTCTTCATCGCGTCCAGTCCTTGGTGGGCAGTGCCCCCTGGGATCCTCAGGATTTCTACTCTTCCAGAACAGCACTGTGCTCACATGACCACCCTACTACTGTACCAGTTTTGTTGTGTAGAGGCAGTTAATTAGGACAACAAGCCAAACTGAAAGTAATAACCAAGTCTTTATTCACTTACTGTGACAACATAAGCCAACAGGCAAAAAATAAAAAAAAAAAGGGTGCCAGCTCCTCAATGTTCCATTTTTCTGAGTGGAACAGTACCAGGCGAGGGTCAGGTGGATGCAACATAGACAAAAGAATTCACCTCACTATAGGAGCATCCAAGGGCTTCTGCCTCTTTATGAACCCATGGGCAGGAGAAGGAAAGAGGGAAAGGGACAGGAGCAGAAAAGTACTGAGTCCAAGCCAAGAAAAGTGCCTCCGCCAACCCACTAGATAAGGAGGTCTCAGCAGAGATGCCTAGAAGTGCCCCAGGTGAGGCCCCCAATAAGGAGGCCTCCAAAAGAGGCAACTTGCACATGCTAGATATGCATGTGAGCCCGGCTAGCCTAGGGGCCTTAGTCTATGTTTACAACTCCCTCCAGAGACTGCAATGCACTGTGCACCAAGTCTAGTGTGGGGAGAGCAGCTTCACCGCCCAAAGCCTGCCAGGAAGCCTTGTAATTGCCTGTGGTCAGGCCTGAAAGATCACACGTAGGATTTTGGTCTGTCTGGAGCTAGACTCCTCACCTACTTACCTACTATAAGCAAGGCTTTGTGATTAACGCTGTGGTACTATAAAAACAAATATACAGTACGGTTACTAAAGTCCAGCACCTGCTCAATCATGATATATGCAGAAAAGCTAACAAATATAATGAAAAATGATAAAACAGAATATGGAACTGTTAATAAACTGTTGAGTACAACCCCATTTTGTACATATATATTGCACTCAGGACAACTTCTGAAACAAAATTAGTGCCATATAAACACTAGTCATTACGGTCTCTATTATTAAAATAGATTCAATGAAACATTTAGATAACACCAGAGTTTAAAGAAGTTAAGATGCCATTTAAAATACACATATACTTACGATTCATCTAAATCTTCTACAAATCCTTTACAGAAAGCCATATCAAGTAAAAAAACTGGAAAAAAAGGAAAAAAGGACAAAATGTTTACAGTAAATGCTGACTTTACTGTTTCATACTACATGCTTAGTCATCTATAAAATGTTTTTGATGTTTTACAACCTACCATAAAATCCATCACTGATCCATTCCAAGGCACAAACAATGCATAAGCATATGTAGTTCATCCTTTTACTAAATGTTCACTCTGCAGGCACCTACCTATATGACCACCGGCAAGGTTTATGTAGGCTAGTGATTCGGAAACACACAGGTTCTCTTTCAACATGTTCTTACTCTCGTCATTTTTTTCCTTTTTGCCATCCCATCTTTCTCCTTTTTTAACATAGAAATCGTTCTATATTTCTCCAGTAGTAATTATCTCCTCCTCTGTATAAACTCCAACTGCCATTCAAAATACTGGGTTTTTTTGTTTTTGTTTTTTTTTTCCAACTTAATAGGTAGAAACACAACTGAGCTACATCTCTAACACTAACAGTTCTCACAGCCGGGCACGTACGGGGAACCAAGGGGCGCTGAGGAAGTGAACACACCACAGGGAGGACCAGGGCAAGCGATGCTGGCAAGAGGAGGCTGAGAAAGGCCGCCACCTACTCTGATCACTTTTCACACTTCACAATTCGTCGACCTGATCATGACCTGTCCTCGGCCATACCCCCGGGTGGGTAAAAATTCTGCGGACGTGACAAGAGTCGGAACCTAAAGCCAAAGCAAGGTTTGGCCACAAGCTGTGGTGGTGGAGCCTTCACCCTTTCAGTGGAGTCAGCGCTATTGAAACTTCTGCCACACCAAGCACAGAACCAAATGGAAGACCGGCGCATCTTTTTCTGGCACTGGTCCCGGGCACAGCCGCGTTGGGGGAAGGACCCAGAAGCTGGGGGATATCTCGGAGGATCCCAGAGCCTCTCTGCACCCTGGCGGGAGAGCCCTGTTCAGGCTCGACCCCGCCCGGCAGAGGGTCCCCGCGCCCGCTCCCATCGTCCCCGCGCGGCCCTTACCTGTGGCGCAGAGCCGCAGGCTGGTGCCGCGTCTCCCAGCTGCCATGCTTGCTGCAGAAGAGCTGCAAAAGCCACGGAAAAGAACCAGACACCGGCGGCTGCTGCTTGCGCTCCTGGAAAGGGAAGCTGCTTGTGGGCGCGCGGAAGGGAAGCCTGGAACGGAGGGCGGGGGCGGGGCAGACCGGCCTCCGCTACCCTCCCAGGACGCCGCCGGCCTCCGCCTCTGAGCATGCGCGGAATTGCGGCGCATGCGTGGAACTTGGGCGCTTGCGCAGTCGTGCCTACAAATTTTGTGCGCTTCCCGCCGCCTTCGGGAGCGTGGGAACCTAGCAAGTGGGTGCTTTCCTGTGGGGGCAGAGCGGTGTGTGTAGTTGGGGGGCGTTTCCGGGAAGTTAGATACCAGATAAATTTAGAGGGGAAAGTGACATAAACTCCAACGCAGCTGGAGGTTTAATTCTACCAGATCTTTCACTTGCTGCGCCTGTGCAGCGAGCGATCAAATTCGTGAAAAGAGGTGGGTGTTAGCCGTGTGTAGAAAGACGGAAGGCTATGGATTGATGTGTGAGCCTCCATCTATTTCCAAAATAAATTGGGAATCTTCTCTGAACCTGTTTGCGAAAAGAGATACCTGCTCTAGTAGTAAGCTCTGTTAATGCGTTTTTGCCAACTAAAGGAGTCCCATCTTATGGACTCTGAAAAACAAACTGAGGGTTCTAGAGGGGAGGGGGGGTGGGAGGATGGGTTAGCCTGGTGGTGGGTATTGAGGAGGGCACGTTCTGCATGGAGCACTGGGTGTTATGCACAAACAATGAATCATGGAACACTTCATCTAAAACTAATGATGTAATGTATGGGGATTAACATAAGAATAAATAAATAAATAAATAAATAAAGGAGTCCCATCTTAAAAACTTTCTCTTGGAACCTGAAAAATTGAAGTTGATCGTAAGATACAAGTTTTTGATGTTCGTTCCTATTTTCTGATTCCTTTGGTAAGAGTAAAATACTATAAAATATTTGCTGCTATCTTCACCTACACAACAAAAGATATTTATAAAAGCGATATGTTTTTATATGGTGACTCCTGCTGCAGGCACTACATCTGATTTAGATGACATTTTTATAGAACCTAAAATATCAGAAGATTTAGATTAAATCAATTATTGAACATGTGTTATGAGACCAGAAATGGATTATGATGTCAGCCAGGTCACCTTACGTTCAAATTTCCAACGGTCAGAGATCTCAGAAAATTCTATTCCTGACGACTGGAAGATTGGATTACGATCTGATTGAGAGCAAGCCCTAGATTTCACCCATTTCATGCATACAGCGTAGTACCCATTGTGGGCCTTCAGCAGATTCAAAGATTTTTTAATTGTGTGTCTAGTTTGAGTTTAACATACATAAATATTTAATTCTCCTACAGGTTACCAAAGTAGGAATTATATAGATCCTGGGGCTCAGAAAAAGTAATTTACTTAATAGCTCCAAATGATGGAGTTGCCACTTGAAACAAAGTTTCAGACTCCAGAGCTGTTCTTTTCCTAACCCAAGGCTGCCTCACGGATCTCTTTTTGCTCTCGAATTCTCTCCCTCCCTTTTCCTCCCCCTTTCAGTCATCCTATTTTGGCAAATGTTACAAATATATATTTTTTTCTTTTTTAAAAATTTTATTATGTTAATCACCATATATTACCTCATTAGGTTTTTGATGTAATGTTCCATGATTCATTGTTTGCGTATAACACCCAGTGCTCCACGCAGAACGGGCCCTCTTTAATACCCATCACCAGGCTAAC